CCTTTTCCCTTATAGCATCCACTGTGAGTTTGGACCTTGCATAGCCTATAAAATATGTATTGCTGGGGAGAAGGTCATCTCTGAATAAAGCCCTAAAATTATAAATAAATGCTACCAATGCTCAGATCAGAAAAAATTACCAATTTGATATAGTGCAATGATTCCAAGCCCCTCGTTGGTATATATGCACAGAACATCTATGATCTTTACCTATAACCATCTCAGAATACAAAACTCCATTTGTACTGAAACTCACTCAAAAAAATACATTTATACAACAAAATGTATAATTGCATTTATTTTATACATTATTGACCTGATTGCTCACATCAAAGTATAACAATGTCATGGCCACCTAGTAGTTATATATTTCTGAATCTCTGCAAATTTTATTTTTAAAAGCGTTCACTTACCAGAGTGTTGGGTAAATTTTCTTTTTTGCAAGATCTCCCTAGAAATGAAAAAATATATATTTTAAATGCCATAATCATTTGTCAAGTTCAATAGTACATATGCCAATTTTCATGATTTTAATAGACAAAAGGTTGTGAAGACTAATGTTCAATGACAGTCCATAGTAAAATTCAAATATTTTTTTATTGCCAGAAAGTTGACCCTAACTTTCAGACTGTATGGTTGTAGAATATTTAGCTAATGTTTCACAAAAAGAAAGATGTTGTCAGTGCTGAAGTTGTCACAATAATCATGGTTATATACTACAATTCATAATGGCCGGGTCAGAAATTTCCAGTCTTAAAGTACATGCGTAATTATATGTCAATCTTATAACTTAAGTTTCAAATTTTCTTCTCTAATATGCGCACAGAGTTATATCTGAAGAGCTTAGAACCAATAAACAGATGTTGGGCATAGAATGCAACTAGTTCTGAAGAAAAGAGGGAATATACCCTCTATCTATGGTATAAAGTAAGCTTGATCAAACAGCCAATAGTCACTTAGAAGGGTCAACCCATCTTGAATGTAAACACGCCTTCATGGTTCACTCACTGCCAAAAGATGGTCTAGGAGAAAGAATGTGCTGATCATAGGCAGGGTTTTACTACTGGAGCTGAAGTGGGGAGGGGTCACAGGGGAAGAATGAAAGATCTTTGCCATGCTTCAAATGCCAGAATGCATGCACACACACACAAACACACACACACACAAACATACACACACACACACACACATAGTCACACATTTAATAGGGGGTAATGACCCAATACATGTATCAGTATATCTAGTGCAAATTTGCATAACCAGATAAACTTGTACACTTCCATTACCCCATGTGTTAATACTACCAGAAATAATGCCAATCTAATTGATTTACAACCACACGGTCGAGGACCGGGCCAAGATTTTACACTGATATCAACCTTAAACTAATGTAATATATTTTTCTTACAATATGCATCTCTAAGAACATTATCATCTAAAATATATTGACTAAGAAACATTCTTTTCATTTTTGGTGTACATATACATATGTATGCCAATACATGGCTCAAATAACAACTGTTACAGGCAATTTAACAAATGTATCTCACTACAATGTTTAATACATTCTTTTAAGCAATTATAATAATAAAATTAACTTTCTTTTTGGTAATTCTCCAATGAATCAATGTACTGATAGCAAATTCTATCCCTTTATCTAATATCTATAAACTCACCTGAGAACAGAAGAACATAACAGACTAATAAATAAATGCACTTACCGATGCCCCAAACACAACAAATGCAAAAGAATTGTCATTGCTGTAAGTTCTCTTTTTTAGAAACTCCTTGGAGTCAAATGGGTTTTTCATCTGGGTGCTCATGATGCCGTGTTGCCTGGGTCCAGAGCTATATCCCTGCTTCTTCCTGTATTCCCTATACATTTTAATAAGGGAAAACGTCAGACTTTACTATATATGTTTTTCTAGATATTTTAATTAAGTTACGTATTCATTAACATTTCACATGAAATCTTTCAGCAGCATTGAAAGGTCATTCTGCATGGTTTTGTACTCCACACAGCTGTATATAGGGCCAGCTGTATACAGTGAAAGTCTTCAAATTGATTTTACATTACTATCCATCTCTTCTCCACTTGGTGCATGTATATCTGTATCAATTGTGTGCTCGTGTGCACAGTTTGTGGTCCACAGTTCATTCTGGTATCATACGGGTAGAATGTTCTCACTTGTTTAAGTTGACTCTTATAAAAATCTTGTTTAGGCTCACATTTGGCCTTGCAGTTCACTGCCTCTATCTCTTTCCCCATTAAGTACTAGTAACTGTACATAAGACATTGAGTGCTAGTAACTGTACATAAGACATTGAGTTCTATGAAGCCATAAGGTAAATAACAATTAAATACAGGCAATGATACAGTTCAGGTACAAATTTACACTCAGTCTCAGAAACAATACTGTCAGTTATCCTCAGAGTCTCAACACTGGGGTCTTTATACTTGAAACTACTATTATAGTATATTGTAGGCCCAGACAATAAACAACTTTTGCGCCTATTATGCACCATTGAATTTCCTTCTAATATTTCTGCTTTGTCATGGTATTCAATATTTATGCAACGTTAAGCAAAAAAGAACATAATTACACTGCAGCTGGATAGGTTAACTGTTTGCTTCGGGTTTTTTTTACATATAAAAGATCTTACTTACTACAGGTCCTTACTGAAATATATTTGATAATATTTCTGTTGCATGCAAAGAGTTGTTTATATTTGAACACTTATATTTGACAATGCATGATAAACATGCATAAATACAATATATACACACACAAATGCACACACACACACAGAGATATAAATGTACACATTTCCTTAAACCACACATGTAATGCTCATGCCTGATTCTGTCATAAAATTTGCAAGTCATCATTACATATATACTAGTGCAATAAGCTGACACACTGTCAGAAATGTTTATCACATTTATGAATTACTATAATTAGTATTGAAATCATTTTAAAAGTGAAAAGTTCATTGTTTCAAAATTACAAATAGGATGAAAACAAAAATATACAAAAAACTTCAACTTTTTTTGTAAACATAATTAAGACATGCTAATCTGCAAAACCAACCTGTCTTTTTATAAAACAATATTCAGAAAATTTAAAATTATTCAAAATTTAGTGAATTTAGAATGAATCAAAACATGTTTTGGCAGTAATGGTGTGAACCAATACTTTGGATAGTGATCGTAACATCTACAGCAACAATTACATGGACAGAACATAGAATATATCAGAATATATATACAGACACAAAAAGTGACCTTATGTAATAAATAAATTCCTAAAAATTGAATGAACAACTGCATTTATTAAGGCTGATTGCTGTACAAGTAAAAAGCAGATGTTACAGTATCTATGGATTAGGTTAATTCAAACAGTCTATTGAATTATGTATATCAGAAAGGTGCCTGTCCTGATACAAGATTCCAAGTGTGCAATGCAATTATTAACATGGACATATCAATACAATAGAATGTCCTGTGTAAGCCATCAAATCTCTTCTTCTGTGCAAAGACACCAAATCCCCATTCTATCATAGTCACGATTCTTTTGAACTCACCACATTGCTATGTTAAACCTTAGCTATTATCCCTTCATAACTATATACAGACTAAGTGAAAGGAGGGACAAACACCTTATTGTCTGGGTTTACTGATGCGTCTTATTAATTTTATATGTGACAATATAATAATTTCACAAAAATGTAAGACCTCACACACAAATAGAACTCAATTTTTTGCAGCACAGTGTACACTCATGGACGAAGAGATGTTTATTTTAATAAAATTTAAAAATCGTAAAGCATTTTATATTACAAGAAGAAATTGTAATATTGTCTATGAATAATTTGGTACAATGTTCATGTACAGACACAGGAAATAGGTATTTATTGGGGGTAAATGAACTTCATATTTCTTCAGGCCATATTTAATTTGAGTCTTCTTACATAAAGAAAATTAATTTTAATTAAAATTACAAATTTTCACAAGCTAACATATATTGAATCAGTTTAGGAAGCACCAATACTCTGAATACAGGCTATTCATCTTGGTAATGTTAAACAGCAACTTAATAAAAATTGCTTGGATACTGGCAACTTCCTTTACATTTGCCGGTACCAAGTACATGTATTTTAAAAATAAATTAAAACAACCATTTTTAAAAATACTGTTTCATATCATAAGAAAATAAATGCAGTTTGACAATTGTCATAACCAATAAGTTTTAAAAAATGTAATTCATATTCTGACACTGTGCACAGAATAGATACGGTGCAGTAGTGTTACGTAACTTAATAAGTGTTACTCATCATCTTCAACAAAATGAAATGTCTTAATTGGCCTTTTAAAATCGTGCTGCAGCCTTAGCATGAAAACAATCAAATTATGTATCTGCAAGTCATTAACAAGGCATGAATGTAAATATCCCGATTAACTATGAATCGTCCAAAATTGAGCAAAAGGGATTTTTCAAATTTAAAATAATGTTTTTAAAATCATTAAATACTACTCTTACTAGTAACCGGTGCTTTAAATTACTGTACAGTACTGTAGCGCCGATCTTCATTTAGCACACTTACCTTGGGCACCTCAATTAAATAAGCGGCTTAAATTCCAATGTTATGAAGTGACAACCTCGGTCCACCGAGCACCTGAGCTGTCAGTCACGTTAACACTGTCAACTGTTACAAAATAAATTCATAAAGTGACTTGTTCCTGGTTTGCGGTGACAGTAGTGTAAAATGGGTGACGAAAATTAGGTTTGTAGGTCAAGCTCGTCTAAAATTTAGACAGAATCCATCTCACATGGAAGCATGCCGTTTTCATTATACAATAAAAAAAGATATTCAAATATAATTTCCTCTGAATATTCAATGATTTTTTAATATTAATATTTGAAACCTATACATGAATCGGAATTCAACTACATATTAATAAATTATATCACTACGCTACATTCCGGTCCATGTTTGTATAGTCATGGCGGCCAAAACAAAGCACAGAGAAAATGTTTCCTCTGTTTGAACTAGCTAAAATATTGAAGTATGGTGGCTCGGGCAACGGGAGCAGCAGACAGAATGCAACTGTGAGACGATGTGCATGGAAAGAAGTTGGAGAAATGAGCCAGTTGGCTCTGTACTTTTCAAACGGTAAGCAGGTGCCACCGATCAATGTAGGAACGTCATGTGACTTCATTTGTACGCCATACAAGTACTAAATAAATGTGCAAACTAAGTGTTCAGTGGAAAAATCGCTTTGCTTTACGCATGGCATTGTGGAAACTTCACAAGAAGAGATTGTGAGATAGTAAAACCGTAGAGATTTTTTTTGTGGCATATATTCTAGAGATGCATGTTTAATAATTAGTTAACATTGTACATCATTATACTCATAAAACAGTACAATGTCTATAACTGGTCACCTTTCTTTATAATCTAGAAAAAGTAATTAATAATACATAGATAAAAATACACATTCGCTTTTCAAAAAGATTACCTGCTCCTGCGGTACTGTATCAGAGGGCGCGCCCCAGTAGTACGCCAGATCCCATGGCTACCAGATCAACCCATTGTGGACCTTTGCTTTGATGCTACAGGCACATGGCTGCTGGTGATCACAGTGAAGACACATCTCTTCATCATCCCTGTGCTCACTTTGATGGTCAGTAAACTGATAAGTATACCTGTTTTTGTGACCAGCTGAGCTTTGACATATTATTCAAAAGGCCTCTATATGCTTCTATTTTTGAAGCCAAATCAAGAAAATTATGGCTATCAGAAGAATAGTAGATGATGTATAATAATTTTCAGACTGTTAGCATATGGTGAAGTTGATCAAAACATAAATAATTATTGTTAGAAAAGTTCATTGTGCCTTTGTGCACATTAATCGTAAAACAATATAACATAATATAACATAAAAAAGAAGTGCTTGAAATTAAACCAGTAATGTTAATCATGCTTAATGATACAAACAATGTTAAAGAAAAAAAAAAAAAAAAAAGAAAAACAGAAGACATTCTGTGATGAAATAAAGCTCATCTGTGTAGAAAATGAGACTGGTATTTTGCCTGGTATTTTGCCTCATATTCTTCACATCAATCTATTGTGTATTGTAGAACCCCAGTGCACATGTGAACCAGCTGTGGAAGACAGATGATGTGACAGAGATCAAACCAGTGCTGGGAAAGGGTAAAAGATATAAACTTGAATTTTGTAAGAAAATTGTTATAGTGATGTCCTTACCAGGGCATGGGTACTAGTAGGACACGTTTCTTTAATTTTGCATTGCAAAAATTAAAAAAAAAAAAAAAAAAAGCAGAATTCTGATTTTATTTTAATTGAAAATAAAGTCATTGATTATTTTACAATGATGGTTTTATTTCAATGCCATAACTATGGCATGTGTAAGAATTTTATCTATTGAAGCAGGGGTTGAATAGAGCGTAGCCAAGACCTACTCTTTAGCATCTTTGGTTTTGACTAGATGATAAACATTCTACAGCCACAAGTACACTACTTCAGGTAGCTGCAGTCCCACATGTAACCTGGACTGGTGGTATACTCTCAAGGATAATATAAATGAACAATATACACATTTGTCTACTTCAGGTGGCCGCAGTCCCACATGTGTAACCTGGTGGTATACTCTCAGTGATCAGCACATTGCGGTGGTAGGAACACAGGTACGTATTCAGCAAGAGCTTGATCTTAAATATTGAAATCTCATTACCTCCGCCAAGGAGGTTTTGTTTTCACCCCTGTTTGTCTGTCTGTCATCAACGTAACTCAAAAAGTTATGGACCGATTTTGATGAAATTTTCAGGAACTATCAGAAGTGGGCCGAGGAACAGATGATTAGTTTTTGGTGGTGATCCGGATCAATAATCAATCAATAATCAATAATAATAAAAAATTGCTGCCTTGGCGGAGGTCTGCGCTCTCAGAGTGCTTTTCTAGTTCACTTTGATTTCAGTTTGGTGAATCCTCTTAGTAATTTTTATCCTAAATGTATAGGGGCCTGTTTAACCATTACGTTTTTTCCTTCTGTTCAACCACACCAGATTAAATTAAATTTCAGTTTTAGTTGCAATGGTAAATTGATCCAACAGCTCTTATAGCTATAATGAAGTATTATTTTGTAACAATGGCTGGGTGAAACAGAACTTGTTTAGTAAGATCATTTCTAAATGTATGGTTCTGACAACATTTTAGGTGACCATACACCACATTTTAGCCATGTTAGAGAACACATTTCTCATAGTAATGGTAACTTTTATTACACTTCTTAATCCAGCAAGGAGATATTATATGTGTTGACCTACTGCATAATACAGTTTTGGGTGAGACGTCTATCCCAGAAGGCATTGTGAATATTGATCTTGTACAGGATGATAGGCAGTCTGTTACCTATGCTCTGGTGAGATATGGAGGGTATTTTGACAAGTCTTTTATTTTAAGAAATGATTTAATTTTATATAATATTTTCTCAATAAATGGCGTAAATGAAAAGGATGTGCCTTTTCTAAAAAAAAAATTAATTTGACTTGTTTAATATAGTACTGTGAAAGTGGTACATTTGTAAAAATCTCAAAATACTCCAAAGAAATTTTTTTATTTCCTTTCTCACAAGTATAACTGGCAGTTTACAAGATTTAGATCACACTATCATGAAATAAAACATTTTAAAGATAAACAGGAATGAACTCTCTACAATCAGGAGCATGATCTCCTTGTTGTATTAACTGGAGATCACAAATGGAAATGATATAATATATCAGGTCTGTTTTGTGTCCAGATCTCCACCAGGTCAGGGTCTCAGTGGAAACTGCTGCTAGAGCAGAAGAACATGGAGATTCACTGGGTGGAAGATAGAGGTGTGCATGAACAAATGGATGGGAGACCTGTGTTACCTATCTATAACTTTGTGAACCAGACAGGTGAGGAAAGGAAGACAACGTTGAGGGAGGATAAATAATTGTAAAATTGAGTTATGTACACTTGAAGACTGAGACTGCAGAATGATAAAGTCATTATGAATAAATGAGTAGATTTTTACTTATTTAATTGTAAATGTGATGTGACCTTTCAAGAACTTTATAAACCAAACAGTAACATATGAAAATAATGAAAAAATATAAGAAAGTCTGATTTTTATAAATATGGTAACTGTTGTATCCAAACATATAAAACAAGGAAATTAATGTTACATAAATTCATCTATAGTAAGTATCTTTATTAGCACATGTGCATTTCAGTCTTTAGCTCTGTATTCCCTTACGAAAATTTCCTATAGGATTTCCTATAGGATTTCCTATAAGNTCCTATAGGATCCTATAGGAATCCTATAGGATCCTATAGGAAATTTTCGTAAGGGTTGTGCTACATGAAGTATGTGCAGCCAAGGGAAAAATGCTTTTTGCAACCTTTTGCAATTTCTTAGTTTCAGAGGAACTGTCCCATGACTTCATTCCTCTGAAATTCTACAACTTTGGCAAAGGAATCACTTTGTCAGCACAGTATGCCAGGGGAAGACACTTTGTGGCAGCACATGATTGTAAATCACAGACATATCAGGTAAGAAAAGTTTCTTAAAAGGATGACTTTTAACATTGAGCCTTGCAAATTTATTCAGTTGGTATACTTTACTTTTCATGATGCTGGATAAGACTGAGAAAGCCAGAAGTAAAATTTGTATTACTGAATTTTCTGGGCAGATGATATTATACTGCATTTGAAAATTTATTAATAATTCATGTTTTTTGATAGCTATGTTTTGTGTGTATTTGATTTAAATTGATGGAAAGTTTTCTGTTTGTTTGACTCAGTAATGTCTTTTCTTACCCACCATGCATTGTAGTCCCTGTATCACTGACTTCTTTTTTTTTACTTAACATTGATTCTTTATAAGATGTATACACTGTAAGATGAAAAAAGAACATTGTCAATCTAATAATAATAATAATAATAATAATAATAATAATAATATTTCTTTTGCTGCTTTATTATAAATGATGATAATTTTCATCTACAGGTTTATGACAGTAATTTGGAGCACAACCCCCTGTTTGTGTATAAGATTCCAGCAAACACAGAAAATTTACTCCTGACAGACAAGCTCATGTTCATGACCCAGATGGCTGATGGGAAAACACAGCTGATGCTCTTGTCCAATCAGATGTCAGAGACTTCCCTCGATGATCATATAGTAAGTTCCCAGTTTGTAATATCATTACAAAATTTAAATAAAATATTAAGGGAATCACAGTGAAATGTATACACCCATACGAAAAAGTCCTATAGGATCCTATAAGATCCTATAGGCTTCTATAGGAAATTGGCCCAATTTCCTATAAGATCCTATAGGACTTTTTCGTTATAGGGCAGATCAAAATACAAAAATATAGTTCATGCTAAATAAATATTTTGATACACAAAAAAGGCATGCAGTGAATGCAACTTATTATGATTGATTCAGAATCCAAATTATTTTGTTCAAATTGTTTTTCTTCAAATAGCGAGCTTTCATTTAGATCTCATTTTTTTCAAAGGGAATTTATATAATAATTGCACTTTAATTTATATTTTCTTTACTAGAATTTTAACAAGGATGCCATAGTCCAGGCCTTTGGATTTCCAGCAAGTGAAAGCATTGTGGCAGTTTTTAAGAGATCTTATCCCTTTTACTGGCATGAAAAGCGGGAAGAGGAGCTCTTGCAGAAGTCTGCCTCTGCATCCAGCAGGGAGTTTGTTAAGAAAGATGAAAAATTGGCCACAGATGCAAACAAAAGAAGATCAGGTGGCACATCCCAAGAGAAACCCAAGTCTGAGCTTGAGGCTGTAGAGCTAAGTGCTGCTTACAGTATCCAGATATCAACCCACACTGTGCTGGATGGTTGTATTGTGGTAACACAGGATGGGGCTTATGAATGCAGACCCAGGTAATGCTAATAACAGAGTAATACATGACTGTATTGATTTGTGGCAGTGCCAGTTATATGTTACTGTAGTTTTGTAGGTCATATTTTGTGGGTCATTTGAACAAAGGGTTTAAAATACAAGCTATTTAAATCTGCTATGGATATAACCGAATGCAATTTTTTTTTTGCAATCAGCAATTTGATCTATTTTATTCTGCCAGCAAGACATTAAGACTTTAGTTATGCAATTAATACTTGATACATGGCTGGAATAAACTTAAGGCCATAGAGAATACAATGAAATAATTTGAATGTACTAGGGTATCTCCTGAGAGGTATTTCCTGGACTTGGCGCTGACGACCTCAGACTCCCACCAGACGGAGCTGCTGGGCATCATGCTGAGCCTGGATATCAACATGCTCTATGAGCTGGCTGCAGAGTACAGGCTGGCCAGGGGGGACTTTGTACATTCTATTAGGTTGTACCAGTTGTCCAAGGTATGTACTTGATGTAAAGAATTCTTAACAAATATGTAATTCTGTTCATTTTGTTTTATATTAACCTCAGCAGGGTTTGAAATGAATGACAATTTCTCTTTTCACAAAAAAATTTCTATGAAAATGAATGACAATTTCTCTTTTCACAAAAAATTCTCTATGAAAATGAACATAAAGCTTTCGAGATATAGTGTTCATTAAAACTATTATATAAATACGATTATGAATTTCAGCATAACATTCAATCTTGCCACATAATAAAGGTTAAAACATTTTCAGTGTCCATACATCAAGAGAGTTGCCAACTTTGCCCACTACGGCCGCATCCCAGAGGTCATGAACTATTTGAAACAGGTTCTTGGTAATCGCAGCTTGGATCTGAATACGTCAGAGAAGAAGCAGCTGGCGGACATGGCGCTGCACTGTTACGTGCACCAGATAGTGACATCCAATGGGAAGGACAAGGGTCTGGTTCAGGCACTCAGGTATTCTGTGTGACAGTTAAGAGATCTTGAGATGGCAGAAGCATGTTTTTTATGAATATTTTTGAGACTAAGTGCTATATATTTTGAAAATAATTCCATGGACAGAGTAAGTAGAAGTGGTCTACTATAAAACACTGCTTGTTATTCTTGGTTCATTTACTGGAAAGAAGGATGTTTGTACAGTTTAGTGTTCTTGCAGTTCTTTTAAGAATTAAAATTCTAACTCACAATTATTTTTCCTGATTTTGGACTAATATTTAAATGAAGACTACTGGCAGTCTAAGATTTAGGAATTTCAGTATTCATTTTAAGACCTTTGGAAAAAAAGAAATATCATAACAGAACTACTTTCAGGGACTTCTTGCTGAGCAGTTTCTCCTATGATGAGATGACTGCCCTCACCTTGCTGTCAACGCACAACTTGATGGACTTGCTCTTTGAACTGGCAAAGGTAGGATCATGTTTTAAGTTACAGACATGGAAGTCAAAACACCCTTTGTTAAAGGAAGTCAAAATATCCTCTTTTTTTGGAGTCGTATTTTAGATAAAGCATCTGCCTTTCAATGCTATAGCTTTTCTATTATCAGAGAGTTTATTACAGATACTTCATGAAATACAGTGAAATCAGCTTAGAGTAGTAGTTTAGTGAACCATGATGAAATCCCGTTAGATTAAAAAAAAAATGAAATGGTGTCCTTGATTATGGAGTTGACAGTGCTGTGTGTTTTCAGAGTCGTGGTCTAATAGGAGATGCCTTGGAGCTGCTGGTCCAGCAGGGTCATGTGACCTTCACCACCCCACAGCTGGACATCCTGGCCCAGA